GGCCAAGGGTGAGGGCCGGCCCTGGCGCCGCTCCTGCGCGCGGTGGGGCCGCGCCGGGGCCTGCGCCGGTCGGGATCCGCTCGGGGGTGCGCGCTGTAAACAGCTGTTTTTTTCTATTTGTAGACTCGGTCGCTCGTTTTCCCTCCTCGTGTCTTGGCCGGGCTCCTGAAGACCCCTTGTCGCAGGTCCCTCCGCTTCCTTCTGTCTGCCCGATGTCTCCGTCCCCTCCCTCCCCCGGGTTTCACGGGTGGCACTTGGGGCAGCTGGCAGCGCGCCTGGCTCTGAGCAACAGGGCCAGCTGTAACATCGCAAGCAATGGCTTCAGAGCAGAGGGCTAGAAAAGGGGCCGGGCAGTGGAGAGGAGGAGCGCCCGCCCGCACAGGGCCCCAGGCACCAGGGGAGTGACGCGGTGGTAGTGATACAGTTAGTGATCACAGGGGTGGTGATGCGGTGATAGTGATACAGTAGTGATGAGGTTAGTGATCGCAGGGGGTGTGATACGATGATAATACAGTAGTGATGCAGTTAGTGATCACAGGGGTAGTGATACGGTGACAGTGATTGAGTAGTGATATGGTTAGTGATCACAGGGGTAGTGATATGGTGATACTGATATGGTAGTGATATGGTTAGTGATCACAGGTGGTAATAGTGATACGGTAGTGATGCCGTTAGTGATCACAGGGGGAGTGATACAGCGATAGTGATATGGTAGTGATACAGTTAGTGATCACAGGGGTGGTAATAGTGGTATGGTAGTGATGTGGTTAGTGATCACAGGGGGAGTGATACAGTGATAGTGATACAGTAGTGATATGGTTCCTCATCCATAAGGATTTGCCTTTAGAAAGTAAAACTTGATCTTTTGGTGTGGGGAGGTATTTACTCGGAAAACGGAGCAGATGATACTTGGCGCTTCTGCAAATTTTGCCTGCAGCCCTGTCTCCCAGTTCCTTGCTCTCTCAACTAGACCTGCTACTGTTTCTCCCCAGGAAGCTTCTTATGTTAATGACTGTTGCAGAGTTGTATAAATTGCACAGTCTTTCTTTTCAACTTCTGTTACGTTGTTTTATTTCATCCTTAAATTTTAACTGAAGCAATCTTTTGAAATACCAAAAGCAATATTTTTCTTTGATATGACACGTTGCTTAAAGTCATTTGCTGGCTATGGCTGTCATACAGAATTCCTCGGCAAACTTGCAGTTGATCAGAGATCATTTGTATTTCCAGAAAATTCTGTGATGAGAAGCAGTCTTGTAAGAGCTTTCAGATTTTAATTTTCAAGGGTATCTGTAAAGCATGAGTCAGTCTGTTTTGAAATGTACTGTTCTAAACTGTGTTTCCCCCCTGATTTTAGTATCCACGCCTAGCGTGTCTGTGTTCTTTTCTGATGGCTTCCTTTTTTCTGTCAAATACAAGGTCATTCTCTGCAGGTATAAGACTTCAGTTTTGCCATTGACTGGAGAGAGAAACAAACCAAGATGTACTTCTCTGCTGCCTGTGGGCTGTCTTTTCCTTCTTCCTTTCATCCAGTTGACCTACTCTGAATTCTCTCCTTATGCGGTTGTCTGTGCTTGGAATAAACCGCTCCTATCTAACCAGAATTATTCTTTACTCTCCCCTCAAACCCAGAGCTCTCGCTTAATTTTTCATAGCTGATTGACTGCAACTACTTCAACACTTGAGATAGCATACAAACAATTGAAGAAAGCATCTGCCCCACTTTTGGCTAATACTACCCAGCAATTAAAAGCATACGACTTATTTGATGTGTTTGAAAGTGCCGTATTGACTTACGTATTGTAGCAGTTGTACAGTGGATTGGAGCCATTTGGGTTCCTATTGCAATTGAAAAGTATCAGAAGACACTGTTGAGGTAACAGATTTTTCCTGATGAGGTTGCCTGTTTTATGGTTGGCTCTTTGGTGTTCTTCATCTGGAGTTACGGTATAATTTACCAGCAGACGCCAGGAATTTCTGAATTCTGCCCCTGCTTCTAATACAGAATTCTCCTCTTGCATTGCTTATCCTTGGCTTCAGTTTCTCTAACTATAAAATGGGACTGCCAATGCTCACATATCTACTGAATAGGCATTCATTATTCTTTAATTTAATATATTTATTAATTGTTAAGCTGTGGTTTCACACTCGTATTCAATGTATTATCATGGATGCCCAAAATACAACAGGGGTTAGAGGTTGGTTTGAGCAGCGTGTAACGTATTCATTGTGTTGTTTATCCTCTTTAGATGATGACACTCTCTCCGAATCAAAACTTCAGCTTGAACTAGAGAAGTCCAACTCCCTCCCTGTCCCCTCAGTTTCAAAGCGAATTGTGCTGGGTGATGCTGTCTGTAATCTGGCAGGAACAGCTGATCATGCAAGTGGCATTGCAGAGCTCAAGGGAGACAAAAAGGACTTGTTCAGCAAAACTCCTGAGCTTGGCAGTGAGGGTCCCAGTGAGCTCCGGCATCGCAGCAGAGGGGAGTTGCCACCCGAACCTGCACAGCGAGCACCACGACATGGGTTAGATCAGTACATCTCGAGATTTGATGAAGCAATGAAGCTAAGGAACCAGTTGATGAGTGAGAAGCCAAGTCAAGAGAATGGGAATGCAGGGGAGGAGTTTGATTCTTTTCGGATTTTTAGACTCGTGGGATGCGCCCTTCTTGCCTTTGGAGTCCGAGCCTTCGTGTGCAAGTATTTGGTGAGTTACAAAAAACGATGCTTCAGTGTGACCAGACAAAACCCAGCCTAGTTGTTGCCAGTCTAGACATGTCATATACTTAGCTCCGAGGATGACTAGATACATAGAATGTGGTATATCAGTCCAGATGAATTGCTGGCTTTCCTTGAGGCTGGTAGTCCTCTCAGAATCAACACTATGTACTTAGTGCGGATGCTGTGTAGCAGCTGAGAGAGTACAAACTCAAATCTTAGCCCCTGGAGACTGAGAACGGTAATTAGCACCAGAGTGCTCCAAACATCTGTTTACATCTCATCTAGTACAAAATGCCAACTCTTGAATCATAATTGGCTGTACAAAGTATTGCTGTATTTCTAGCAGTAATCATAGTCTGAGGTGTTGTGAACCCCCAGCACCTATCTCAGTTCAGGATCAGGCCGGATAGGGAAGAGATTCATCTTCTAATTTAGCCATTACCTATTTAGATCAGCGGTATTTATAAACATGGCTGTCATTTTCCATAGCTTTTCAGTGCAACAGCTGAAATATTTTATTACAAATAAATGTCAGTTCCCTTGGAAGTGCAAATTACTGTGATTCCTTAACTATCTGTTTGTCTAATTCATTATCTTATATTTTCTTCTCAGTCAATATTTGCTCCATTTCTTACTCTACAACTTGCCTACATGGGATTGTCCAAGTATTTTCCAAAGGTAAGCCCAGTGCCCTAACAAAACTAATTTTGGGCGCTTTCAACTTCCGACTTTTGTGGGAATGTATTATGGTTAGGAAGGCCTAGGTCTTCCACAGAATGTACTTTACAATATTACCCAGCACTTGAGTGTACTACAAACAGAGTCAGGTTCAATAGATATCACTCGCAGTATGAGACTTTGGCTCCCTTTTATTTGAAGTGAAAGGCACTTAATACCCTAGCTTTTAATCTTGGAGGACCTGAATCCAAATGTTCTTAAAAGTCTTGGGTGAAAATGAGTTTTGTGTTCTGATTTTTGTGCTTACTGAATATTTAGCTATAGCCCAGTAGGAAGCATTTACTTGGGAAAGCTGGCTAGATTTTTCTTTGATTTGGTAAGATTTTGCCTTCCATTTACACTGTACTTCTCTGCAGTTGCTGTTTTTCGGCTCCATCCATAGGCACTGTTCATGTCATGCTTGACCAAACAGAATGTTTCCTTCTCAGTGAAATGGGTCCTTGACCTTTGGTGCCCTGAACTCAGTTTTGGAGAAGTTTGAAATGTGGCGATTTTTATTTATGCCTGTTACTTTCTGCTTCTCAACATGGCGAGATTATATCTCCTGCTTTATATTAATGGGATCGTATCACAAGTTAATTGTAAAGAAGCAACTGCTTGCTTGATGGTTTTGTCAGGCTGCTTTGTAAAGTCAGGCAGAATAGTACTTCACAGCCATAGTTGAAAGAAAATATTTACATGTTAAAAGGAATAGCAGAGTCAGTGTAGCAAGTAGGAATAAGTGAGAGTAGTAAATATGTAAGTAAAAACAGTGAACTTTCAAGTAATTATTCTTTAGTGGTCTGCACAAGTTACCAGACAGCGTACCAGGGTACTGGCCTCAGATCACCTGCACTAGGTTGTCTGCTAGTTAGAGCTTTTCTCTTAGTTTCTGTGGTTCTCAAAATCAGTTATTCAACCTTTATATTTCAGAGGTGAGTCAATTGAAAGCAAATGGTAGTTACCTGTATACTCTCTGTTCCAATGGGACTTTAAACCTCAGGCTGGCCTGCCTGTGTCTGGGCTAGTGGAAAGTAAAGCTTCCGTGGGGAATCTTGAGAGGAGATGACTGAATTCCTCTTCTTCCGTTCAAAATTCTCTAATTCTCTAATGTAGAGTGCCCTGACTTTGTTTGTTTACTCAGGTTATTCTGTTACTAGTATCCATTTCATTATTTTGTTAAAATTCATTGATGATTATGACTGTCTTAACATTCATAAATGATTTACCTTTTCATATAATGCGTAGTTGTGGTACTAAACTGTTCTGATTCAGAACACTTTGAAATGTCACATAGGTGAACACTGCAGTCATAAAAATGTGTTTTAAATGCAAAATGCAATGGGATATCAATTCAAAGGTATAGGTCCCTTGACATAACTAAAACCATGGTCCATAACAAAATGAATAGCCCATTCTATGGCACAAAAACAGCCTACACAAAGCATCCCTACCTGGCCTTGCACAAAAGTGTGTGCATGCATATATGTCCAGAAGTTATCTATATGTTTTAAAGCTATACTGGCAAAAATACAGTTCTTTACAGAAGAAACCAGTGTGGATGTGAGATGGTTTGCAACATGTCTATCCTGGCCTAACTGCACTGGTGAACCTTTTGTAGACAGCTGATTAGGAGACCATCAGAACATGAATTCACACACATTTGTCAGCGATTCACACAATGATGTTAACTTCAAATGTTGACTTGTCACTCAAGTCACAAGTAGGAGGGAGTCTCCAGAGAAACTCATTGGATTTAAAATGTATTTAGAAGTTATGACTCTTCATACCCTCAGTAATCACTACTTTTTTGTTTTGTTCTTTTTTTTTCAGTGCGAGAAGAAAGTGAAAACTACGGTATTAACTGCTGCTCTTTTATTGTCGGGGATCCCTGCAGAAGTGATTAGTCGCTCCATGGACACCTATAGCAAAATGGGAGATGTCTTCACAGATCTTTGTGTCTACTTCTTTACTTTTATTTTCTGCCATGAACTGCTGGTGTTTTTTGGTTCTGATGCACCGTGAGGGCTTGTAGACCTCAAAGTAGCAGTTACACACATTTTTGCATTCTGTATTCCTGTAACATCTGTGGATATGCAAACTGGTTTAGACCTTTAATTTAATTCTTGTCTGTTGGAATGCTTGACGGGCATCTTAAAGTCACTCATTTGTGAATGGATAAACAGGGTTTCAGGGTGGGGGTGGTCTTAGTACAGTGTATTCAGCTATTGTTTCTGCACATGGCAAATGTGAAGAATAGAGTGCAAGTGTCAGTGATTGATTTCCTTTACTTGTTTAACTAGAAGACATCCTTCTTCCTCCACCCCTGACATCACTTGAATTGCTGTTCCCTTTTGGCTCTGCAGTGTGAGAGCACAAATGTGCTTTCACGAAGCCCATATGTGTACACTTTGTGACTGGATACATGTAAGGACTGCTCTTCTGGTGTTGCTTCCATGTTTAAAAGAAATCCATGACTAATATAAAATGAATCCTTACGTTCCAGTGTTCAGACTCTGAATGCTGAATAAAAAAGCCTGTGGCTTTTGCAGTGGGGTTGGGTGACACATGCCTCTTCATTGTCCCGTGGCTTGGAGCTCTCATCCTCTCTCGGTGCCGTAAATTATTTGTTGTGCCGGTGACGGACTTCAAGTGAGGATTCTAGAGTGAAAAAAATCCTGTTGGCGTACAGATGCCATTAATTGTGAAGCAAGAAGGCATGTGTGCTGCTGGTCTCAAATGTTTCCATAAGCTCTCTAATCCTAGCCCTAATTTTACCCTGGCTTTCATGTACACCCTACTTGCGCTCTTCTTCTTTAGACAGTTCATTTTCTATGGTGAAAGCTGCACTCGGGCACCCCATTCTCGCAAGCAGTTACTTCAATAGGCATCAAGTATAGCAGTTTTATTCAACTTTCAGTTAACAAGGGGACTTTTTTTTCCTGGATCTTTGCAAGGGTGTTTAAAACAATTTTAACTGACATCTATATTCTGTTTCTTTCCCTCTGTTTATAGAAAAATACATTTGCATGTAAACAGGGCCTTAATTGCTTAGGAGTTCTGCTCCTGCTGCTTAATAGCGCTGCTGCTCAATAGCCTAAACAGAACCCTTGGTTAGCATTCAGCAGAGCTATTTATATGTTAACTGACTTGCTAATTCCTCTCTTCTACATTTTGGTTTGAAGTCCCTCCAAATAAGCCACAATAGGCATACTTATTCAAATCCTAAGTACTGAAACAGGCAAGGGAACAAGACTTCTTATCACCATGTTATTTTGAGTTGATTTCCATATGAAGATCAATGTGCTGTGTGGAAGGAGGGGGTGGAAACTGACACCTTTTCTGGAGCAGATGTAGAAGCAGCGAGGAGGGATGGGGGCGCTCCCACAGCAGATGCCTTCTGCTCTCTAGGGGAGAGAGGGTAGCAGTTGTTCTGCCCCCAGTCCAGCAGAAATTTGGCCTTAGTGGGTGGTGTAAACTGGAACAGACTTTAAGGAGGGATCTCCATCAGCCAACCTTTCCCATTACCCATATTTGGATATTTGCTGCTACTGTATCTGAACCTGGTGTTACCCTTAACCTGTTGTCTTCTGTGTATTATTTATTTGAAGCATCCAGGTGAAGTAGACTGACACCAGATTTTCAATTGGGAGGGGAGGCCTGGTTATGTTGCTAGTGGTTTTGCCTCCTATTTAATCTGGTTTTGTGTTTCTGAAGTAAACAAGACTCTGCTTTTCTGCTTAATTGTTTTCCCCTTTTAAAATAATCTGAAATATGACGTTGTTGCACTCCTGAACCCACGATCAGACCTCTGCTCTATGTCTGAAGCAAGAAACTTGTGTTCTAAATTATGGAAGATTGCTTTGTACCGCGGTTACTTTTTGTGTCAACATCTAAGTGCAGATGTTTAAGGATAGACTGGGGGGGGAACGACAACCTGATTTAGGTCCATTGGCAGGGATGCTTGGGACACAATTTCAGCAGATGCTGACAGCTGAGATTCTAGCTACGGTTGAAATGTGAAGATTATTCTCAGAAATGAGACATGACTTGACTTTCAGGATTATTTATCCGAATTAGCAAGTGTTGCAGGTAGCACTAGGGAGGGTGCAGAAAAAGCACTGGTTATTCATATTATATCACCTTTTAAAGGGCCCCCCATCTATACTAAGCTTAAAAAAGCATTTTGATTTATATTTGTGTTTATTTTTGCGTTGTGCCCTGCTCTTTTTGCTTTCCTTTAACTGTGAAATGGCTGAGCCAGATCCTTTCCCAAGTGGCCTGAAATTACACTAGGCAGACAAGGGTCTTTGAGTGAATATAAAAGATGCATTCACCCAAGGGACCTTGTCTGCCGATGTCCGGCGCCCAACACGACTACAGCCGACACCCCTGAAATATAACATGGAGCTTTTGAGCGGAAAGGATACGTTGTCGGGACAGGAGCAGGTAGCGCCAGGGGTTGCCCGCGTCCTCAGCTCTCAAGACTTGAACGAAGCCCTCGGACTTCACGCGCGATCCAGAAACGGATCTCCTTCGTCCCACCTTCGATTTGCACCCCCGCCGCCCCTCCCCCTTTGCTCGCGCACATAAATGTATCGGACGTTTATTTCTACAGCGGTTGTTTTCTATTAAATTTATTAAAACGGCATTTGTTACTCTCTGTTGCGGTTTGATTTGCTCGGGGGTGGGGGAGGGATCCGCTCGCTCCTTTATTTCATGTCTGTTTTGAGGGGGCTCCTCGGCGACCGTCCGTCTGCAGACCCCTGCCCCGCCAGGAGCCCGCTCCG